AAGAAAATAAACTCGTCGTGTTCCTTTTTGACGAATTTTCTTTCAAAAAATTAAAGTGCCATTTGTAAATCGATTTTATAACGAATATATCGATATTCAAGTATCGTGAAAACTGTTCTAAGAAAATAAACTCGTCGTGTTCCTTTTTGACGATTTTTTTCAAAAAATTAAAGTATCATTTGTAAATCGATTAATTGTATACCAATATTCAAGTAAGTGTTTTAAGAAAACGTAGCAAAATGAACTTTTTTTGACGATTTTTCAGAAAATTAAAAATTACCATTTGTAAATCGTAAAAGAAGAAGAATAAGTGATCGGTTATATAAGAAATACGTGTTCGATAATATGCCGAATGGTGTCGGGATATAAATCGGCTGGTATCGTTCATAAGCTTTCCTCGATGTTTACTTCTGTACTAAATGCCACGGGAACTTTTCATTAATGCCCGGATGAATAAATGCCACCGTGCCTCCCCCACCTTAAATTCTTAATGCAGCAAGCCCGGTGGAAAGTACTTCGGGGCCTCCAAAATATCTTCAAGAAGTTTAAAGTCTTCCCTCGATAGTATGTAAATATTGTATGTAAAGCGCGACATCAAAGGGATTCTTCCGTAGCATAATGCTTTAAATTTCGTTGCGAGGAGAGATTAAGGAACAACGGAAGGGCGGGGATATTACGGACGCGTGGAAATGTCCATTTTTCGACATCCATACATTCGTTGTATTCGTACGATAAGCGGCTTCTTCCATGAGGAATGGATATATTATGGGTGTCTCGTGCGTCGCACATTTTGAAATATCAAGAAAGATTAGTGCAATGATATCACAGATAGATATTAAAATCCTTATTTTCGTGCTTATATTAGGTTTCATAATTTGAGAAACGAATCTAAGCCAACGAGTTCAACACCTCGATAAAATTTGGCCGGTCAACTCGTATTATTTCGTACGAAATATATAATTATGTATAGGCAAGTAATATGATTTTTCAAATAAATTCTCCTTTCGGTGAGGATCGCAAAATTTCGATCGTTGTGCAATACAAGAAATAAAATTTGCATTAAAAGATTTTCGATATTTTCATGATAATGGACTTAATTCTAAATACGTCTTGTTTCATCGATCTTTTGCTACAAACAAATATATCATCTAAAATCTTTTTTTTATATCATAAGAATTAAATTATTTATAAATCCTGTTTACGACAAATCTAATCGTATCAACGTTCATACATTCAACAATGTCATACAATTTTTAGAAAAAATATTTATAGTGAGATACGAATCACATGTGGCGAAAGAAAATGCAAGTGAGGATGTACGATAGATAGGCTGAACGAAGTCACATCAAGATCTAAGGATTTGATTTAGAAAGGAATTTATGGATCGGCAAATAGTTCACGATCATTTTAAGGGAGAAACGGGAATATAGTTTCGAAGAACATTGAATCAAAAAACTTTGTCTTTTAACAAGAGGAAGAGCAAAACATTGAATGGATTATTTATAAATCCAACCTATCAAGAAGCTAAATCTCTCTTTGATCCTATTCTAATATGAAAATTAGAAAAAGGAATGAAATATAATCCTTCTCTTCTCTTTTTCTCACTTTCTCTGAAACTAAAAATAATTTATAAAAAAGAAATATATTTTTTTAACAAAAGTAATCTTAACAAAAAGATAGCCGAGTAACGTTTACCCACTCAATGTAAATTCGAACAAATCTTCTATTTCGCAACACTATAATATGTTGAAATTGTTTGAAAAAAAAATAAAAAAGAAGAGAAAACATGCATCTTGAAATGTTTTAACTATTTACAAAATTTAATAAATTAATAATTTATTTATTCACATTTTATTACACGAAGCTATTTCTTTATGATGAAGAGCTGTCGTGCAATTATGCAACTCTCTTAATTGCAACAAGTGATCCAGAAGCAGAAACAAGTGCTTCAAGTGCAAAGAAATATGGGCAGCTTAGAGCGCAACGCTAATTTTTAAATTTTAATTTTTACTGTTATTTCGTGAAAGATATCTCAAATATCATAAATCGCAACACTACAAAATAAATTCAAATTTAAGTAAAAAAGAAAAGGAAAAGGATGAAAAATAAAAGGCTAATTCACAATCCATGCAAGCATGCAATTCGGTCAAGCAACAATTACTATTAAAACGAGCACAATGACGAAAATGGTAACGATAACTTCCCATCCTTTAGATTCAAAAAAAAAAAAATAGATCCAAAAGATGAGAAGCCATTCGTTGCAGGTCTCTTCTTCGTCTTCTACGTCTCGAGACATGGATGACAACATTGTCCAATTATATTATTTCACGTGCAAAGTCTCGAGCGCAACGAATTTCGTATCGAGAGATCTATTTAATTCGAAAAATCGGCGAGAAACGAAGAGAGAAACGATTGTACCCTCGTTCTAATTTTACGCCCTCGATTTTTCGAACTTTATTCCCTGAAACGGGTCGTCACGCGAAAACGCGCCTACCCGATCGAAGACTGTGACAACCTGCCCGGCCCTACCTGCTTATAATTAAACAGACACACCACAAGTATGCTACCTAGCCCTATATTTAAAAAAAAAAAATATGGCAAAAGGAGGCAGGACCAACACCCATTCGCTCCACGATTCTCAACGCAAAAAGCCTACGCTGGGGAGAGCGTCCCGGGACACCTCGAGTTTTCTATACACTACTTTCACACTCTCACTTTACGTACCGTATTTTCACTGAAATCGACTGACGATGGTTGGCGTTGCGTGGTAAAAAACGCGTGTATTTAAATTTTAATTATATAATATATTTATAATTGAATGGATACGAGTGTTTTATAAAAGAATTACATCATTACATGGATTAAAAAAAGTATTTAATTGCATAAATAATATCGTAATTAATTAAATAGCGACAAAAGTAATAATCGAAACGATGCAATTCCATGGCCTGATCAAGTACAACGTGGAGAACGCGTCGTGCATATCACCAACGTATCGTCAGTCGCTGAGAAATTTTGACTCGAACTTATCAATTAGGGTCGTCATCATGCGCCTCTCTCTCATTCGAGTAGCACCTACGGCTACGTGAATGAGATTCTGGGAATGAACATCAGGGAGGGGTTAAACCTGAAAATCCTGAGCTAAAAAGAATTAGATTAATTATACATTTTATGATTTATCTATCGGGCTAATATAAAATTTTAATGTAATCTCAAATTTCAATGACTCTGATTCATTGCATTTTTACTTTCTATTCACTACTGTGTAATCAATCCGTGGAAATTTTAATACTTTATGAAAAAATTTTTCATAATGTAAAAAGTAAGTTTATAAAATACGATCCAATCGAGTAAGCGATGATACAAACTTAAAATTTTAATATAAATGAAAATATCCTCAGGCGATTCCTTCGTCAAAGGAATATTTTTGAAAATATCAAACAAGTATTTAACAAAACTTACAGCTTTGATTTCAAAATCTATCCTGTCGCGAAGTGCAAGTCTTCTTGCACTTGTGATATTTTATACATTTTCAAACGAGAGGAATGAATTCTAATTTAATTTTCATACACGAATGTCCGTGTGTTTAGATATTTCACATATACGTTTGCAAATATCCATAATATTAGATTACAAGAATTTGAGTTAACGATTGAATTAATTATGTACAAGAAGACCTAGCCTGAATAAATAAAATATAGAAAAAGAATATATTACTATTCGCGGGTGTAACAAGTACCCGCGGTCATTGTGCTCGTGGAAAATTCTACGTATACAATCAGTCACTCTTGTCGATTTGGATCTTTCATCCTACGACACGATCGAATGACCGAAGGAATCAAAATGCATGCGACTCACCAATTGATGCGATGAATCTGCACTATCATCAATGCTGTTGAAAACCCATCGAAAGTTATTGGAAAAACTGTAAAAAAAGTGGGATATTATAATTTATAAACGTGATGATAAATATTAAATAAGCTCTAATAAGCTATAATGATATACCGAATAAGAATTTGAAATTTAAAAGAAGAAAAAATTATATTAATATTTCCGTTTATGTTATGTAATCTATGAACAAACACTGACTCTAATTTCACGTACGATTATTATAATTTAAATTTACTTAGAATTATTGTGCTTTAAAAAACAGAAAATACTATTACCACAGAAGCAAACACTGACTCTACCAACCGTATTGCACGCGATCACAATAATTTATAAATAAAATTGTATTAACGAAGAGAAGGGAATAATATATATCTTGATATTTTCTTTCTTTTCTTATCAAGCATTTGTTAGAAAAGATTATTTTTGAAAGAATTATCTTGTCAATGTTCAATTATTAGAATTAATGACATTCTATTCACATTTAATAGAATAAAAATATTTAAAAATTTTTGCAAGTAATAAATCAAGTTATCTATTATCTTTATATTTTCAATAAAAGTAATTATGAATTATATAAAAATTATACACATATACTATACTGTATGTTAATAATTCGATAAAAAAAATATAAAAATACTTACTTATAATCATTTTTCTTCTATATGGAAATTTAAATCCTGCATCCATATTGAAAATTGATGACCTAAAATAATTTCAGTAATTAGTAATATGTAAAAAGGAAATCAAATATTTAAGATAAATATATAAGATTAAGTTGATTGTTCCAAAATAAAGCAATAAAATTTGGGTCAAATCTTTTTTAAATTCTCGTATTTCATAATATAAATTAATATTAATATTAATAGTTGAATAAAAACAAAAGAAAATATTTTTCGAAAAATTTTCAAATATAATACGAATAATTGTAATATTAATAATATAATAAATATAAGATTGATTATAAAATAAATATTATGCAATAAATTATCGCACACCCGAAGCAAAGCGTCGTTAATTTTAATACAACAAAATGACAATTTTCGCAATATATCGCAATATATCGAAAGAGAAATATCGTCAACAATTCGTTTCAGTCGGAATGTATCGAGCATAGCATGGACGCTAACCGTCAATTTCCCGGAAAGTATTATAAAAAATGTTTTCAGCCTTGGAGCTTCGAGCGTAAAATCAAAACAAATACAGAAATAATAACACGCGAGTTGAACGTATGAATAGACATACGAATGTACGAATTTCGAATGAAATATGTGAAATATATACATATATATACATATATACATGTGTGTGTGTGTGTGTGTGTGTGTGTGAATTGATTGTATTAATTATTTCCACTTTTATGCGCATAAAAAGAATACAAAAATTTATAATAACTACGTTTCTGTTAAAATAAACAAAATCTTACCGTATTTGCACGAAAATCGTCGAATTATCTCTTCATTATCGTGATGCGTGCAAAATCTACCACACTTACAAAATATCGAAGCCTTCGAAGCTCCAATCCAAACGATAATCTGCACAGAAATGTTTAATAATGATAAATAAACATATTAATTATACAAAGTTTAATAATCTCTGATTACTTAAGCTTAATAACCGTAATATAATGACCTATTAATACAAATTTTTGTACAATTACACACTTCTACCGACGAAACAACCTGTCACCACAATTTTCAACTGTAGACTGATGACATGCGCACTGACATCTTACCGTTAGATTTTAGCGGCTTTCCGATTGGCTGAAGGATTCTGTATTCAGTTTAGCCGCGCGCAAATTGAAACATATATGTATAATATTTTATTTCTAATTTAAAAAAAAAAAAAAAAGATTTCTATACATTGAAATTTTACATTGAAAGACACTTTAATTAAAAATATGATATAATAAATAATAAAAATATAATAGGAATAGATTATTATATATTTCATTTAATGTAAAAATTACTTAAACTGAAACATAATGAGAGAATAAATATTAAACTAAAAAAAAAGAATAAAAAAATAAATAAAAAAAAAATATAAAAATTGTATATAATGGATTTTTATCAATGAATCTTTTACATTACAATCGCAATTTGTTACTTTTATATCAGAAATAAATTATTACAAAGAAATTATCTAATTTATGGTGAAAAATTGAAAGGCGAGTCCCACGTTGTCCATCGTTGTCCAATGTCGTCCAACGATGAGATTTTAAAAAAATCTTTAATATTAAGATTAAAATTTAAAATCATATATTTTATTGATAACATCTGTACCGAAGATATATTCATTTTATTCAAAGTGAAACAACAACGATCTAATAATTCCAACCAGAAAAAGATAAAATATCAAAAAGAAAGTGAAAAGAAATTAAAAGAAAAAAAATATTGAGACATCGACTTAAATAATTGCCAATTATTTGATTTACATATATCGTTAAATTTTTTAAAACAACACATAATTAATATTTACTTTATGATCCTTTAAATAAAACTTTATCGATAAAAATTAAAAATATAATTGTATCTTTAAAAATTTAATCTACAATATATTAAAAAAAAAAAAAAATAACACATGTAATGATAATATAATGTAAACATACATATAACGTGTACATATTAATTTTACTCATAAAATTCATTTCATTGAAATAAATGAGTAAGAGAAAAGAATCATATTTATTGCGTTAATAATTTTAAAAATAAAAATTTGCTCATATATTTAGAATGGAATAAAAACTGGAAAAAATAAAGAGTATAAATAAATTATATTCAGAATTACCGTTTCATAATCAAATGTTTCATTTCGTACATAAGAATAGAAAAAAAAAAAAAAAAAAAAATAACGAGAAATATAAATTTCTATACTTTGTCTTTCATCAATTATTCTCATTTATATATCTTATTTATTATAATTTTTATATCAAAATCAAGTTTTCAATCATTTTCCATTGATTTGAAGCGATCACATCATGTGACAAAAATAGTTGAACAAAATCAATTGAATCTTCAAATTTTTTAACACACAAAAAACTATTACAAATTATGTGTTGAACCTTTGTGATTTCTCATATCTATCAAATCTTCATCCACGTGCATCTTCGTGGAGATAATGTGGATTTTAAGGGAAACTGGCAAAGGATGCGAAAATACTTGGAGATTGGTTCGCATTGTGGAGATATCTCGTTTATTTGATTATGCCACGTTAGAGAAGAAGCTTGGGTAAAAGGTTTGGAGAAAATTTCAAATAGAAAATTATGTGTGTTCGAAAATTTTGGTGGAAATGTCGTCCACATGATAAAATATCGAATGATACTCGAAGAATACTCGGAACACAGTTTTCGCGAAATTCCTGATGAATATTCAAGAATCTTGTCGGATATGTAATTGTCAAAAGGTAGAGGATGGTGAAACGCGCAAAGGAAAAACAGAGTTCGACGCTTGGCAAAGGGACCGCAAAATCTCTACTGGCATTCGTGCCAGGACGTTCGCGAAAACTTTGTTGCATTTTTGGTCAGCTTCACGACATACGCTGCCCGAATAAGCCGGATCAAAGGGACAAGCTTGAACGTAACAAGAGGTTGGAAAAGAGGTGTAAACGAGTGAGAAGCAGCATTGCATTCCTTCCTCGCTCTTCCGTGAAAAATTTGTAAAAATCTTTTCGCTCGCCAACGCACAACATCGGATAAAATATCTTATATATATATATATATATGCATCTTTCTTTGAAATAGTGCACACGAAACGTATTCAAAAGCGTAATGTTCGCGTTCGATGAGATGAATCACATCGAGAAAAGAAGTCGACGAATGAGGAAATAATTGCAAACGTCAAAAGAGTAAGAGTTCACAATTCGTGGCGTGTGTGTTCTCTTCTTAAGATAAAA